TCAAAGTCTGCAGATGGGAAAATGAGAAAAATTACAATAGTTTTTGATGTTGAACTCGCTCGAAAAAATACGAGGGAAGGATTCAAGAAGGAACAAACTAAAGTTCCAAATGGCCGTGTGTACGTGCTTGGATAGAATGGACCGAGGAGCGGAGAAATACGAATCACAGCGATTACTTCTGATTCGTACACGTTGGTTAATTCCGAAGAATAGATTCTTTTAAAAGTAGCGACGATCTTGGTTATTGTTGTCTCTAACCTCTGATGAACATATGAAGAAAAGCTGCGGGACTCGAACTTATTACACTCTAAATCTCCTCAAGTTTTGCTGGCCGCACTGGTCTTTTTTAGGGGAAAAATAGTTAAGTTTACTTAGTTTATTTGATATTCAGCAGGGAAATGTGGGGTTGAGGAATTGAGCTGAATAATTCAGCGGGCTATATATGAGTGATCCCGGTCATCCCTCCCCGGCTTTGAGTTTCTATGCCGTATATACAACCCTATGAATAACAAAGAAAACCTAGTGAATTGGAAACTAATAACATATAAAAATACAGAAAATTATTTATGAAATTAACTATCGAAAGAATGCCTGTGGTTTGTTGGTCTGCCTGTGGTTTGTTGTCATAACTACTGCGCAAAGGTCTCCAAGAGAGGGAAAACGTTCCAAATATCTTGCACTAACCTCCTTGAGTTGATATTCACTATTAAACCCTCTAGTTACAGACCGTATCAGGTTACCAAACGCAAAGAAACCGCTACCATATCTAATAAAATCATAAACATAAACAGATATTTATGTACTATCTTCATAATGCATTTATAACTATCATCACTAACATTGTCATCATCATCATTCACAGCTGTTAAGTAAGTCAGTAGGTTTTCTATCTTTTTACGTAAGTAATTTATTACTTCACCACAGTGGCCAACAGACAGAATTAAATATATTTTTTCGTATACTTTACATCTGGTCGTGCAATCGTATTGGATCAATTCCATATTTGCTATTCTACCGGCAACAGCCTCTTTTGAAATTGTATCATTTCATTATTAGTATTTGACCAATRATGGTCCAATAGGCCATTGGCATTATACCGTAACTTTACTACAACTACCAGAGAGCCTTGCGCATTTTCATTGTTATTCAGATTTTTAATCCCCTTGGAGATTAATAAAACAATTGGCACTAATTGCATTACAAAAGAAAGTTGGCAAAGCATTCTGGTAGTTGTAGTAAATGACGGCATATATCGCCTATTGGTATTTGACCAATGATGACTTTGTATTATTGTCATTTTAATTAGTGGTATTTGGTTTCATTATTAGAGTACAAACATTAAATGTGTGCAACACCTTCCACTATTTACTACAAAATAGTGTTAATTAAACAATAGAAAACAATAGAATTAGCATAATTTAGCAGTATTTAGTGGTATTTATGTTGCACAGTTTTCGTGTTTGTAGAGTGGTCGCACTTAGAGTGGTTCTCATTAACCCGTGAAATACACTTTAGCGTATTACACTTTATTACACTTTTTCTCTTTTGTTTTCTATTATATTTCTTGGCTATTACACTTTATTACACTTTGACTATTACACTTTGTTTCACGGGTTAATGAGAACCACTCTAAAGCGTGCAACTGTACAAAATCTAAGTTATAGTAGTATTAATTTGTACTAAAAGTGGACCTGAAGCAAAACGGTATTGATTGCTTCATTTGTATCAATTCAATTGAATTTACCTACTGCATGCACGATTTACTAAATACAACTAAATAGAACTGTTTAGTTTGTACAGTTGCACGGATTAAGTGCGATCACTCAGTACTCTAGTATTTGGTATTTTTCATTATTTAGCATTTATGGTATTTGTTCGTCATAATACCTTTTTCTGTAAGTATCCCAGTTTAATTGTAAAAAGTTCCATGCAATCTGTCCACCAATGTCGTTGTAGTTGGCCACGTATGAGGCAACTCGAATAGAGTCCTGGGCACGAATTTTGGTAGGGTCTAAAGAGTATTTTAGGTAACTGGAACAATAATAGAATAATAACATGTCCCATTAGACGATTGCTGTAGTTCTAAATATTATTTTTAGAGTTAACAAATCAATAACAAATCACTATACAATAAGCACATTGTGCAGCCCCTCCTTATGACCTTACCAAATGAATTTCAAGAACACATCAACAATTCATGACCCCATAGTAAAATTTCCACAACACATCGAAAATCATCCGACTTGTCTTTGGCTACTTTATTACATACCGCTCTAAAATCCAGGATTCTTTAGAAGCCGCCATACCGTACATAAGCCTTATTTTCTCAGATGCAACGTTACTCTTTTGGAATTGTTCGAATACAAAGTCCCATTCCTCCTCGCCGCCATTTGCTACACCATAATAGTAGACCAAAGAGCGGAAGTTTGCAGGAACTCTGTAAAAGAAATGAAAAAATAAATGAACAATTTAATAGGTGAAAGACGGATCAATGAATAATGAAGTGCATACTAAATAATTCGTTTATTTAATATCTATATAATTATAAGAATTCAACGATGGATGGAAAATGAAGAAATAGAAATATTCCCAAAAGGATGGGATTAATGTGATCGTTGCATGAATTAGTATTTGATTCTCACTAAATCTCGCGAATACTTCAWTTCGCGAAAAATCAAGTCACATGTTTCGGGAGTAAAACATTTCGTCATTGGAATCCATGGACGTGCCCTAAGTATGTATGCTCGTCCGTTGCTTGTAAGATAAGGCAAACCAGCCAGTCAAAGGGACTGTGAGTCCGTGCAGCTTACGGGGTTTTCCCAAAGAAAGTTAGACATCAGTAAGTTTTTTTGTTTTGTTTTATTTTTGTTTTTTTATTTTGTTTTTATTTTTCTAAATCGGAAGTTAGAGGTTGCAAAATTAAATGATCATAAGATAGATGGATGTATAAATGCAGTGGTCTTTCATCGACCATTTAGTGCTTTGTATAGCTTACGGATTAGCATCAGGATCTTTCATCCAGTTTTGGAAGTATTCATTTGCTTTATTAAGGCAACTTTGGACCTCTGCTCTGCACTGGTATTGAAGCACATTAGATCTCATATACCTGCGATAAAAAGAATTTTAATATTTATGTAAATGCATTTGCGAAGAAATAGAATGGGATAAAATCCGAGAAGTAAAAATGCTAAAAAAATCATGAAAATAGATATACGACCAATGATTACATTTATGTACAAATGAGCTCGTCAGAAGAGAGGAAAAATTTAAACGAAAAGCAAAGGCAAAGAAGCAGAACTTACATAAAGAAAATGCACTGTAAAATGATAGATTTAAGCAAAAGAAAGGGTGATTAAAAAGTATGAAAACTCAAAAACACCTACCTGTCTAAATGAGAKCCCTCGTCTTTAAAGCCTAGTGTTTGATATAATGGTTCTGTTTGATATTTGAGGTATTTCTGAATGAAGACAAAGAAATATAAACTAGTCGATATAGGCAGTGGAACTACAAAATGACAACACATCATTAAATTGTAAATTGTAAACCCTATCAACAACTCCATTGTTATGGATCATGCATCAAACATTTATCAAATTAACTTTCATCATACCGTCAAGTGCTTGTAGGCAGGTCGAGTGTTCGACAAAAGCGAAAAGATGTAGTTGAAGCCTTTGTCTGCAGCTTCCATGGGAACCCAGTCAGTTTCATTTCTTATATAACTAGTCGTCTCCAAGGCAACAGTATAATTAACCATTGTGGCCCTATGTATAAATGTAATACAGTGTAATAAGTAACTATTGTAGCCCTATGTATAAATGTAATTCTTCGTTTTCACTATACGTCACAGCGGCCATCTTGGTTGAACTTTAACAAAGGATTTCTCATTAGTATCTATTGTTCATTCCTCCAACATGGCCGCCGGTCTTTTATCTTTTGAATCTCATGGGAATGGTTGAAAACGATCAATACAGTATAACAGGGGCGGATCTAGGGGGAGGGTTGAGGGGGTTCCAGCCCTCCTATGAAAGTGGTAGATTTGATTAACACTACTAAGYGTTATTGGTTAGGTACTTATGACAGCATCTTACTCATCAGATACCCCGTTAATTACATCTTTAACATAGAGAAAAAGGGAACAAAAAAAGGTTATAATGAATAACAACGTTAACGAAGTTATCATTTTCATTTTCGAAACTCAGTCTGCAATCAAAAAATCTCATGGCCGTGCTTGTGTATACAACCTTGTCGAACAGTAGTATTTCGGACTTTTTCCGTTTCTCTTGTTTTATTAATTAAAATAATGGTTGTTTTATCGATTTAAAAAAAATGATTGCCTGGCATTAAGTTTTTAAACACTCCGTATTTCTTTTAATCTAGTTTTGGGCGAAGTTAAAAAAAAGTATCTCTTACTATCAGATAATAATCGGCGGTTGCTATGTTACTYAGTTATATCATTACTTATTAGTCTATTGAGGAGAGGTTTCGTATACTGCTATAAGTTTCCTTTCTAAAGACGGCGACATATTGTTACCGTCATGCATGCAGTATAAGCACCGAACCGAGTACGAATCCATTCAATTTGTTAGTACTTTCAAAATGCTATGTTACCTGGCTAAATTGAAAGCATCTGCGATGAGTCCTGCACGATCAGAAATTGACCAGACCTTGATGAAGTGAAAAAGAGAATAATAAAAGATAAGTGAATTGATTTGGAAATTCAAATGAGATATCAGAAATAAGAGCGTCTTTCTAGGAGTGTACTGCTATGGCTATGGTCTTGAGGCAGCACTTAGTCTTAGAAGTTATCTATTTTTGCTGAGTGCCATTTTTTGGAAAACGTGACTTGGAATAAAAAAGCACGTGAACAAAAAATATTTAAACAGAAATGCCCAGATATGTCATACATTTTATAATGACGTCAGCAGGGATTCAGGCGCTGAAGTTCTACCATTGCTGACCATTGCCTCTACTAAATGCTTTGTGGAAATGCTGATTCTTAAGTTTTATGCGTGCCTGTTTTTTGTTTTTTGTTGTTTTTTTTTATTGTTTCTGACGGAAATCTCCTAACTGGAAGTTAATTTGAAGATCGAGATGCGAAAACGACCATGGCAATCTAATAAATGTTTAAAAACATCGTTTTTTTCATCGGAACATGATATAGGAGCCATACCGTGTGATTGGTTTTCAGTTGATCTGTAAGCTTTATCCAAATTTCTGGTGGGTAATTCACACGATAAAAACCATGTTGTCCAAAGTTACCTTTGATCCATTCTTTCCCGTTATATTCGATATCAACTAAAAAAACAAGGGCATTCCAGTAGGTATTTTAGATGGTATTTGCATATATATACATATATAGTTTACATAYGAGATTCCTTGTAATTTCTAAGATATAATCTTTTCTTATATTTTATTTCTATCTACTTGTTTACTCGTTAATATTCTAGCTGTATTTTGTCAAAAAAAGATACCCGCCATCTTGATACCTTTATCAATACTGACCATGCACTCTACAAGAGGTATGTTATGTTTGAAAATAGTTTCCTCCAGTTCTTTATTATAGTGTGTTTATTGCTATTATTTTTTGAGTGCAAAATCTGTTAAAGTACGATTTAAACGTACTTTTAAGAAAAATGAAGCCTTGGAAACTAGAAAAATCGACTATGGACTAGCAAGGATATATGAATTGCTCAGTTTTGACAAAATTGACTCAKCAATAAACAATGTACAGCATTCCATCCTTTTTTTGGGGAGGAAGCTGTTCTATTTCGAATTGTTTGTTGACTTTTTTGAAAGCCTCTTCGAACGCTATTTTGCGTTGTGCCTTCGTTCGTGAGTGTGAAGTGACTGTTGTGACAAGTCATCGACCTATCATCGACTGTGTTAGAATTCGAATTGCTACGCTTGGCGCGTAGCTTTGGCTTTTTGTCTAGTACRCACATGTCACCACCAAAGTATCCTCAACACTCAGGAAATTTTAAATAATAACTGTTGGAAATGCGATTTCCAGCGTTTTGAGGTTCCTTTTCATAACGAAGCTTTGGTTGGAGAAAGCAAGCAAAGACAATCATATAAAAAATCCCAAAAATTGTAATATTTCCTTGCCACTAGTACGCACGTGCGTATATGCGTAAAGGACGCTACGCGTCTGGGACTTTCGTCGTTTGTCCCGATGTGACGCAGGCTATGTTTTTACTAAGACAGCACAATTAGTGAAATCCATCTCCTTACCAGMGCCTTTCTCCATCAGTACTTCATGAGGTCCTGCCTGGGAACTGATCTTGTATGTAAATGGCACCTCCCAGCTATAACTGAAATGTATATACAAATTACACTGAATAATGACCACTCTGTTATGACTTGGTCACTTCGCCCATCGACAAGAGACTCTCATGAGAAAACAGTGGTAGCCGCACATGCAAGATTGAATACAGTTTCAAAATCTAAACGAAAATCGATACATCGAACACACAAACAAGATCAAAGATAGCGGTGCCAATGTTCTCGAGGGTTTCCAAACATTTTAGACTCACTTAAATGGCGATTTGTATTTTGAGGCGCTGACATTTGCTGCAGGGTTGTAGAGGAAGTGGCTCTGTGTCACGTGATAATGCGTATTGTTTTTCTTTTCCATATTTAGTACTGGGTAACCCATCTGTAGCGTCCATGTGTCCATGATTTTCTTGACATCTATACATTTGGGTTTGCGTGCACAGCTTTCCTAGAAAACGAGACAAGCTAATCATTTTTACACTGTGCTATTTCACATTTACAATCTAGAATGATAAATATTGAGAACAACTTGAATATTAAATTAACATATAATAGTTATCTGGACTTATAAAACTCATTAGAGTGGTTTCCATAAACTCGTGAAACAAAGTGTAATAATTAGAGTGTAGTAGATCGTAATAGTCGCGTAGAGACAATAAAAAACAAAAGAGCCAAAGTGTAATAGCGGATAAATACGCTAAAATGTGTTTTACGGGTTAATGGAAACCACTCTAATAATGTACGAACTATTACTCCAATAAGGGCTGTCTATTTGGTCAGGTGATTGCCACTACATTGTATACCAGATTTACAACACGGTCTTCACCATGCATTGAGACAACCCAACACTAGCAAAGGTCTCAGCAAGCAAAGACAGATAGCAGGCCTACCTTATCCAACAGATTGCTTGCTTTTCCATGTGGGATAAATAATTATTCAAAATGTTCTGTGTTGCAATAAATTGCGCATGCCTAATAGGACCTAATGGCGACTAAACTAAGCAGATACCTTGTTTTCCATTTTTTTGTCATTCATCTCTCTGTAATTCATGTTAATTTTTTAGTGTTGGCGTTTCATAAGTCGTTTACAGCATTCACGTCCGTGTTGTATGGGAATTACAATCTTCGCCTGTAATTCCCTTACAACACGGCCACTCATCTTTTGAACTATACATGAAGCCTAAACTTTTCAAAAACTAGGAAAAAGGTATCCCGCTATGTAATGTATGCTATGTATAATGTGTAGTCACCTCATTGTAGACATTGTAACACGAGCAAAGAATGTTTCTGAGTTTATTCACAACTATTATAATTTAGCGCGGATGGCCTAGTGGTTAAGCTACTGGCCTCTCACTCTATGAGTAAAATGAGCGTGTTACATTAAAACTTACATCAACGTTGCGCCGAAATTCGTTGCACTTAGAGACATTGTGCGAATTGAACCGACTGCCGGTCACGCAACAACTGAATCCTAAATGGCCGGCAGTCCACAAAATAACAGATTACTGAGACCTTTGCTAGTGCTGGGTTGCGATATAGCGCTGATGAACTTGAACATGAGTTCTTTATATCTGATATAGAACTGATTAATAAAAAATCAGTTCTATATATCTGATATAGAACTGATTAACAAAACATCAGTGCTTTATCGGGATATAAAGGCCCATCATGTGACCCAACAGTTCAATGCTCATTGGGCTGATAGTTCATGAATTATTAATGAGTTCTAGAAAGATAGCTTTGATGGTTCACATGCTGACTGATTTCACTTATACACCTACTTGCGAAAACGTTGTCATAGAAAATGGGACATTTGTATTTAGTAAAAAGGAATAAATTAAAAAAGACAAAAGAAGATCACTGTTGCTGAACGCTCTCTTTTGTCTTGTTTTAATTAACGGCCCTTTTTACTAAATTCAAATGTCCCTATCCCCAAAAGTATCCACCCTGTCACAACMTCACGCTTGTATGCATTACATATCGTTAGAAAATACATTTAATTCGCTATTAATCTCAAGTTTAGAACTAAACTTTTCCCAGGGAATTTTAAAAACATTTTATGTAAATGTCTGTATTGTTGTCTTTATGTCTTTACAAGTGACAACGTTAATGGTAGCCAGTTCCAAACAAATCTGGAATTAAGTACCATATAAACCAGTTTTACCTGTCTTAATGCTTTCCATAGATCATCTGTCTCGGCATTTCCATACGCGTGTTTCTTCAGGTATTGCTAAGCAGAAATAGCAAAATTAAGAATAGGAGGAAAAGAAGAAGAAATGGTAATTTGGGATGAATTAGGGGTTCATCAAATCAAAGGAGAAAATAAGAAAATACATTCATACTTACGGTGAGCCCTTTTTGAAAGACATCTTTGCCAAGTATACTTTGTAGCATGCGTAGAATGGAGGCACCCTACCGATAAACACATTGATGAAACGTTTTATCGTGCAAGGCTCGATTCATCGCTCATATATTGACATATTACTAGGCTGCATTGATTGAGATTAAAGAAGGGAGATTTTGAATATGTAACAAAAATTATCAAAGATGGTTTATTGGATGATCGATATTTGAGGCTTTTATAAACCTTTATTCACTTTCTCAAAATGACGCTTTATCAAATGTTAAATTGTAAAATGCATTTTCTTCGTTTGTTCTGGCCGGTGAGTTTTTGAATTCTGCTGGATGTCAAAAATGCGGTCCCCGTAGCAAGGAATGACGTGGGAAGTCTATAAAAGCATGCGCACTTATTATCGCTAAAGGTTTCGATTGTAATATTAGACTTTCACAATGTCACTTTTAGCCCTCCAGCTTAATCTTTAAAATTTTTGTTCGATTTTTGAAATTTGCTTCTTCTTTCCAAAGAGAGTGACTTGTGGCAAGTCTTTAATTGTAATTGGAATGTAATTATTAATTTTGTTGAGAAAAATTCAGTATTTTAGTGAAGATTGGTTTGCGAGACAAAACAGCAAATGGAAGCCTTTTGGTGTTTATGTGTAGAAGAAAGTATTGCATTGTATTTTCATTCATATTTTGAAAATTTAGCCTCTGTGGCAATTCTATAAATAATTGTTGTAATTCACTATGTTTAATACAAGTATTAGTATTAGTACATACATGAAAATGCAAGGAACTGAATGGAGATCACAAGGAGCACAATATGTTTGTATTAAACTATCCTGACTCCGACACAGATTCTATACACAACCACTAATAACTCTCAAGCTATTACCACAAGAGTACAGACGCGAAATTAATGACTTGGAAGTGCTCTACAAGGTCCAAACTGGAAGTATCAGTGTAGACTCCAACATACTCAAGTACTCTACGCAAAACTTCGACGCATCAAATTAAAAACCACTCTTAAAATTATTATCGAAACTCTTTTTTYCTAGAGCTGTGGCACTCTGGAATAATCTCCCAACAGATAATTTAGCATTATTTAAGTATAATGTTTTAGGTCTTGACTGTAAAAGTACCTTGAACTTGTTACATAAATTATTCCTATTTATTTATTGTTTGTAATATTCATTTATTGGTTTATTTTATACAGGACGAAATTGACATTTTGTACTCTTGTACTGTTATTTCTTTCCTGCCACAAATTTACCTGTAAAAAGAATTAATGGCGAATTCATGTAACTAAACTAACTAAACTTACGGCATACAATKCATGCCTCTTACCTTGTTATAAGAGATCGAATCAAATATCTCGTTGATTTCATCAGGATGATTGACATCGACTTTAATTGGATGCGATGATGACAGCCCATCAAGATTAAATGCAGATGCCATGTCCGCTATCACAAAYTGGTCATCCTTTCAAAAGTGATTACATTAAATGAGATATATTTAAACACATTTAGTTGATGCCATTGAAGTATGATATGTGAATTATGTATCCCAGGTTATAGCCATTTAACAATGGCGTATAGGCTTTGGAGGAGGATTTTATATTCCGATATTTGCATACTTTTGCATAACATTCACAAACCCAAAGCCCTCGCGCTTTGATGTCAGAGTATAATGACAAGTTATTTGACGCTGACGTCAAGAAATGGAACAGTCGGTCAATCACAAACGAGTTAATATAAAACTGATAATTTATTCCTATGGTCATATGGTAGCCCTGTATAATGATATTCTAAAACTCATRAATTATTCATTAGACATTCTTCCAATGACCATTCAACTATGGGTCACATGACAGGATCTATAACTCAAGTTATAAACATTGATTAATTAAACATGAGTTTTATAACTAACCGGTTCAGTTAGTTATAACACTCATGCATAAAACATCAGTGTTGTAACTGATTTACAGACACGATGTGTGCCCAAGTTTGTGTGCCCAACACTAGAAAAGTTCTCAGTTTTATACTCTCATCATAGAACTTCACTAGGTCTCGAGTTAAAATTACTTATTTGCAGAGTCACAGTACACTAAAACATAGTGGCGCTTGGATGTGGGAAACCAAGTTGATTACTGCTCATGCTCAGATGGAGATATCTCATCAATTATTCATTTTTGATATTTTTTTATTTATTTCATGTTTATTGTAGTTTCTTAGGTTTGGGTTTTAGAAGTCATTTAAAAAACTCGTAGTTCGTGTTTTATCGTGGATATAAACACTCGGCCTTCGGCCTMGTGTTTATATCTCACGATAAAACACTCCTACTCGTTTTTTAAATATCACATAATCTTTTATCCTTTAAACATCGGAATGATAGAAAATAAATTAATATTAACAATGAGATTATATTTATCATATATAGTACGTATATATTTCCTACAAATCATATGGTGCTAACGGCTATATGCTTACCATAGCCCAGGTAGGTTCAACTTCATTAACACCATCATACTCCACGAAGCTTGCAAAGCCTTCATTCAACCACAGATCATCCCACCACTTCATGGTGACCAGGTTACCAAACCACTATAATGCATGAATATCAAAAATACAAATAAAGGATAAGCACTCATGTCTATACTATGGTCTTTGTGATGATCCTGTCAAATCTCAGTAATCCTATGTTTTCTCTGTACTTTCTTTTCAAGTTTTTAAACTAGCCTCTAAAAATCAAGAAAGTCACATTGATGCTCTTCATTTTATAGCATCCTTGAAATCATCAAAGTTTCATGTTAACAGTAAAGTGACAGTTGAGTAGCATGAGACAGTGTGACGTCGGGCCCATCCATTTGAATGATCATATTTCAATTAGGCACTTTTAGCCAGGCGTTCCTATCCGCTGCGGGGGGGGGGGGGGGGGGGGGTCCCTGAAATGTTTTGGGAGACCCACTCATACTACAGTTTTGAATTCTCTTTTTTTAAGATCTCGAAACTGGAGTATTCGATACCTTGATATGAGTAGAGGTGGTGCGAAGGAAAAAAAACAAAAGAAGAATAATCCCTTCAAAAGCATGAAAAAAGAGGTAGCAGCTATCTAAGGGACCTAAAACATCGTTCATTACTTCTTACCTGATGAACAAGTTCATGGGATATCACCGTAGCAACTCTTTGTTTATTTGATTCTGATGATGAGCCGTTCTTCCATAGCAACGCAGTTTCACGATAAGTAATAAGTCCCCAGTTCTCCATAGCGCCAGCCGCGAAGTCAGGAATCGCTATCATATCTAAAGTAAAACAAAACGAGGCCTAACTTGTTTCGAATCAGCCAATGATCTTAAAGTGAACCCTTTTAGAAAATCATTTTTAACAATTAAAAGGCAAATGTGATGCTAATCATATTTTTTCAGTTGCACTTTACTATTTCGTTGTATGCCTCGAGGAGTACAGTACACATCTGTCAGTAAACTTACCAGCTTTCGGTAAAGGATAACGAATCCCATAAAATTTTTCAAAATATGTCATCATTTTCCCGCCAACACTTTTAGCGTAGTCTACTTGATCGATTTTGTCTTTTGGAGCGTAGAATCGCATCTAAAAACAAACACGAAATTACAGCACAAGAAAAAAGGCTTACCATGCAACTGAGGATACGGAATCAAACTACTGCAGAAGGGATTTAAGCAAGAATGAACGCACTGAATCCAGGAGGTTATACTGGAAATGTCGTCGGTAAGCGATGCACATAAAGAGCAATGTCGAGAGGGGGGTGGGGAATTGATCCAGATTTGAGCGGGGACATTCCGCAGATACCAATCAGAAATGGTGATTTAAAAAAAAATTCAACTCAGTTGCAGATTTAGTGCAAACTTGATATGATCTGATATGTGAGTTTGAGTTTGTATACACCTAATTACACGAACGTTGTCCAAGAAAAAAGAACTTTACTATTTAGGACGGGTTTAGGGGGTTAGGGGGGGGTTGAGGGACTACAGCCCCCCCCCCCCCCCAATAATTTTGCCGACATTTTGAATTTTCTTAAGTAAATAAGCGAAGAGCCTCCTTATGAAATAATGTCACCATGTATATTCCATAACAATTGTGTTAAAACTGATCGTGAACAATTAAAATTGAAGCTTTTTTGCGAAGTCTTTGGGATTTATTACTCGGGGTTCCACAGGAACCGCGAGTTTAGGTTTCGGCTTTCTTTGTCATGGTATTCGTCGTACACAAATTGTCTCGGCCAAACTAGAATGCACTGGGTACGAATCACGTGACATTCACAACTTCCATGTGCTATCTTTACATGGTGTCGTCGAGGTGTCGTCTTTACACGAGATGGAAGATATGGATTCAACTTCAAACACGATCAAATCTCTTATAAATCCGCACACCATTCGCGGTATGGCCACACTAAAAGATGTCGAGCGTTTTCCGAAATGGCATTTTGAGAGATACCGCGAATTTATCGTGAAATTTATCGTGAAACTTATCGTGAACTATCTATCAAACAAGCTACCAATCTCATCAAAAGCGAACTCTATACTAACTGATTCTACAGGCTCTGAAACTACAAAGGACTTCTCTAAGGAATGCGAACAGAATTCTACTGAAGAAAAACCGACGATTGCAACTATTTTATTTAGCAGAGAGGATAATAGATAGATAGATAGATAGATAGATATGATAGATAGATAGATAGATAGATAGATA